GCAGCTGTTCCCTGGCCCTTCTCCCGAGTGGGCAGCCTGAGGTCACCTCTACGAGCCGCCTGAGGCCCGCTTTCCCCTTGGAGCAAGGTGGCGCAAGATCTATTGGAAAAGAACGGACGCAAGTCGAGAGTTCAGTCAGTGTCCGTCGGCGCCTCCTGGGCCTGCGCCTGAGGTGGAGGGCGGGAGGCTGACCGGCGCGAGCAGCTGCGTCCTGCTGCAAGCGACGCGCGCACGCCAGCGACCCTGCTGGCTCAGAGAGCTGACTGTGTGGGAGAATGGAGCAGATAAGCGGGTGGTAGTAAGAGCGCTGCCCTTCTTTTTCTTTCTTTCTTTTTGAGGCAGGGTCTCACAATGGACTTAAGGCTTGGACTCGAGGTACTCATGCCTCAGCCTCCCAGAGTGCTGGGGTTACAGTCATGGGGCACCACGCCTGGCTAGAGAAGCTGAGGGATTCTAGGGAAATAGAAGCCTTCGTGGAATCTTACTTTTTTTGTTTTGGAGTTTTTTGTTTGTTTGTTTGTTTGCTTTTTGAGACAGGGTCTCACTAAATAGTTGAAACTGACCTGGAACTCACTATGTAGCCCAGGCTGTTGTCAAACTCGCAGAGATCCTCCTGCCTCAGCCTCGCGAGTGCAGGAATTACAGGTGTGTGCCACCATGCCCGGCTGTGGCATCTTATTTTGACGAGGCAATGAGCAAATGCGTTCATGCTTCTCTGAGGAGGTCGCATTGGAGCTAAGACCCAAGCCTTGCCCTGTGGTGGGTATCTCTGGCTGTTGGCCCATTAAAACGTCAATCAATTTTGCTTCAAGAGGCCCCAGCAGAGGGACCGACCTGTGGGATGTCAACTCCAGGACAGGAAGAGGCACTCTTGGCTTCACAGCTCTATTCCCAACATCCAGAATATCGCGTGGCACACATTCACATTCAGGAAATATTTGTTGAATGAATAAATGTGAAACAGGAACCAGTGACAGAATTAGCCCATAGTCCAGGCACCAGCCAAGCTGCTTTCAGGATCCGCGATGTGAATTTGAGTCCCGCCACCAGTAGAGGGAGCCCCTGCGCCCACCCACAGTAAGGGCAAACACTGGACGCCCCTACCCCCAATTTCCTTTCCTCTCCTCCCTTCTTTTCCCCTCCCCTCCCCTCCCCTCTCCTCCCCTTTCCTCCCTCTC